GGCTCTACATGTACTTGCCATCACACTGGTACTGACTGATTATCAATATGGTGCTCAAAGGGTGGTGGTGTTCACCAGAGATTCGGGGGTTAGGGGGATAGACCCACATCTGAGGGATGCGGCGAACAGTGTGGAGGGGAAGGGCATACCTTTAACCTTTGCTAAGTAAAGGCAAAGTTATAAAATCTAACCAAAATGTTATTTAAAAAAAACACATTTAATGGGTATTGGGCAGGGGATGGGTTTATACATATACATTATAAGTGCATTGTGCATTGTCGGGGCCATGGACACGCTTGAAGCTCTGACTCGAGGGGGGAGGGAAGGAATAGCAATGTATGTAACCTTAACATTTGTACCCCCATATTATGCTGAAATAAAAATAAAAAAATAAATTATCAAATTTAAAGGAACAGAAATCATATGATGCATACTATGACATCACAATAAAATTAATCTAGAAATCAGTAACAAAATGATAACTGAAGTATCCTCAAATACATGGAAATTAAACAATACATTTCTAAACATAATATGGCCCAAAGAAGAAATTTTAAAATATATTTAAAAATATTTTCAACTAAATGATGAAAATACTATTTATGAAAATCTGTGGATGTAATAAAAGCAAATCTTAAAGAGAAATCTATGTTTCCACTTTAGGGAAGGAGAGTAAGAAGAACAAATGCAGTTGTAAAGTAAGCAGTAGGAAGGTCATACTATCGTAAAAACAGTAAATACAACTTAAAGATAAAGCAGCTGGATGTTTGAAAGGAATATTGATAGCTTAATAGTTTCCATATCATATAATTACCCAAAATAGACAATGAAAATGCAACCACCCAAACAAATCACTTGCTTACGTTCATGTAGAGGTGACCCCACTCCTAATGAGACACTAATTTTCAAAAATAATCAATTAAAGATACTAAATTTGGGTAATTTTGATTTTTTTTACTATAATATGTTGGGAAATACTGTATAAGAGGTTTGTATAAAAATAATAAAGAACATGTAAGAGGACATGCAGACACAGGCATGTGAATGTGTCAATGTTCATGAAGAAAATCCTCTGCTGGATCTATGTCCAGTCCCACCATGGCCTACTCTCCCTGCTCCTGCCACCTTCCTACATTTCTGGTCCCAGGGGTCCTTTCAATCCACTGTCCTCTTCTCATACCCTGGCCTGAGCCATAGACACATTTTTCCTCTTCTCTTTCCCCTTCTCTGTTTGCTGGACTCACTGTTCCTCACTCGGCAGAATCTCCTCATGTTCCTCCTCAGAGACCTTCCTTATCCATCCCATTCTGTGTCTGAGGCCTGTTCTCTGGGTTCCCAAGGGCAGTGCTCCCAATTGTTTTGATTTCTGTTAAATTTTCTAAATGTCCACTGAAATGAAATATCAGAGAACATGAAAACTTTGTCTTTGTGGTTCCCCTGTGAGCCCCATACATGTAATTGACACAAAGCAACACAGAAGATGCTACATGATATTAAATTTCACTAATGAATTAATAAATTTCTCAAATGCCTCACTTAATTCTCAACAAATTCCATCTTTATTTCAATCTGAAGAGGATTGGAACTTGAATATTAACATGTGTTCTTTTCTTTTCCCCCCTCTGTCCTCAGAGCAGGGTACGAGCCCTGACTCCCCTTAGCCTCTTCTCTAGCTCCCCTATTCTCAACTCACTGTACAGATCCTCGAATGGACACTGTTGCTCCCGACTCATCTGCACCTCTCTGTCCTTCTCGAGAGTTTCGCTCCCTTAGAGCAAGTAAAGTCTTCTGTTCTCCAAGATTCAGCTCTATTAATATGGCTCCCTAATAAATATTTTCAAATTTTATTAGTTACCATATTTCACTTATTTTTTCTTGTGTTATTTTCAAGTGTTATTACAATCTCTGTTAGCTTTGTGTCAGCCAGGGCATGGTTTTAATTATCTGCAAAAAGATGAACATATCCTGAAATTTTCTGCTGTCACCTTATGGTAATATCACCTGCACCAAAACTTGCAGAATGTATGTGAACATGAAAGATGCAAATCACACAGACAATATTTAACCTCTTGTATTAAAAAGGTTACTTTGCTATACCTCTTCATGCTACAGTGTGTGATGTTAAGATATGCATGACTCTGGGTCAAAACTGAATACAGAACAATCAGAATCAGATATCAGGATATTTATAAATTACTTTCAGTATGATTTCTAATTTTATGTGTATGAAACTTGTGCTCTTAAAATTCTACAAGGACTTTTCAATACATGTATATAAGTCTATTATGTATATAATAGTTTAATTGACAAATATAGTATCCTTTCTTATAGATCTTTCTTAAATCTGTGATTCATTGACATCTAGAGGATGACACCCAACAAGATGCCTACAGACACTGTGCATAGACAAATTCTGATCCTCCCTTTGGTGATACAAATACCAGTTACAAAGCTGTCTGCCTTAACCTGAGTGTGACCCACACCTTAATACTGCCAATTAGATCCATACAGCCAGGGTACAGTAATGATGCAGGAATTGCAGGATGAATAAAAATATGGTATCATAGAAAAATTACTACAGATTGGGCACACCTTATCACATGCACAAACCAAAACAAATGGGCACATAATACAGAACAATGGTTGCAGGACAGAATATATTACACTGTGTAGGGCAGTGATACCTAAGAGATATGAAACACTGATGTGAGGCCTGAATTGCCTCAGGTTATCTCTTATGGAGAGTTTCCAGGCTGTGGTGTGGCATGGATTGTGGAAAACACTTTCAGTTGAAAAGACAGAACTGAGAGTCTTAAGAACAAGGTGACTGTCTGGGCGCGGTGGCCCATACCTATAATCCTAGCATTCTGGGAGGCTGAGGCGTGAAGATTGCTTAAGTTCAGGAGTTCAAGACCAGCCTGAGCAGGAGTAAGACCCCATCTCTACTAAAAATAGAAAACATTAGCCAGTGTCGTGGCACATGCCTGTAGTCCCAGCTATTCAGGGGGCTGAGGCAAGAAGATCACTTGAGCCCTGGAATTTGAGGTTGCAGTGAGCTATGATGACCCAGGTTGACAGAGCAAGACTCTGTCTCAAAAATAAAAAAAAAAGAAGAAGAAAAAAAGAACAAGGTGACTGAATTTCATTCTATCATTCTTTACGTCCAATGGAAGAAAGGAAGAGAGCATTCATGTCAGCACCCATACAGTGCACGCTGAGATGTGGTTTACAGAAGGCCAGGAGCAATACAGGAAAAAAGGTAAAGACACAAAGAAAAGTCATTTCAATGAACTTGGTCTTCAAATCTTTCATCTGATTTCTGATTTCAAAAAGACAAAGTCATTTTCATGACAGAATGATTTTGCAACAAAGCCTAGAATGAAGAGATACTCCTTAGAGATGAAGTAAATGGCATGTGTAAGCAGACTGAACAACTCAGTGGGGATGGATACCAACTTGCCTTTACTATGTTATTTTCTGCGTCTGCCTGATAAACTCATTACATTATGAAATAATTAAAGGAGACCTTTCTAAGAGTAGAATGCAATTATCACCAAAAGAAGGAAAAAACCAAAAAGCTCTTTATCTCTATTTGTTTTCCTATAATACTTTCAGTTTAATTTAAATTTGGGAAATATTTTGTCTCTGATCTTCACTACATAAATGTAGTAAAATTAAAAGATATTTTTGCCAGGCCATAATACAATAAATGAGGAGTCCTTTTATTTATTTAAACCAAGGCCTGGCATTGAAATTCCCTGTGTATAGTAATGAAGCTCAGAGACCCTGACTGAAACCATAACTGGCAAAACAAATGCCTGTCTTTTAATTTGGAGTAAGTGCCGATAAAATACAGGGTTCTTGCTCTATTGGTTGCTTACCTTTCATAAATCTTAAACAAATACCCCTCCATGCTGTCCCCAGAATAGTGCTGAGCCCATTAGATTGAGGAATCTAATTGTCTGCTAGACATATGCTATTAAACTGAGACACTCACTCGGTAGAAATGGTTTGTCCCCAAGAGAATGTGTTCTTTGCAGCACTACAATGTTGGCATTATAGCCCTCCTTATCATAAGCCGTAAATAAATACTAGTATACATTTTGTATTCCCACTAAACAATATCTGAATATGGGACTGTCTGGGATATATGAGGAACATGCCCCTGTCTTTGAAGAGGTGATTACTGACACTCTAACAGGTAAATGGAAAATGGAATGAATGATGGGGAAGAAGAAAGGATGAGAGTCACTGGGACTTGAAAGGATCTTCCTGAAGAATGTCACCTGTGTTTGACACAGTGAATAATAATAGAAGGTGCTTTGCTATTCTCTCATTACATGTCCATCCATTTCTTGAACCCAAGGATTTTGCTCATCTTTGTACCAAACTAAACTAATACTATTTAAAACATATTTTTATTTGAAATAAGTTTAGATATACAGAAAGATACACCAATAGTACAGAGCTTTGTATGTCCTTCAGTAGTTAGAATGTAACATCTTATACAACTAAAACTTATTTATAAACACTAAGAAAATACCTGTTATACAAAACTATTAACTGAAGTACAAACTTTCTTCACATTTATTAGTCTTAGCATTAGCACCATTTTTATTTTCTAGGATCTAATCCAGGATACCCATTACATTTACTATCAAGTGGTGCCCTTATTAATTGCTACATAATAAATTAGCACAGAGCTTAGTGGCTCAAAACTACACACACATTACTCACAGTTCCTCTGGGTCAGGAATATAGGACAGATAAAGGCCAAGGCTGAGTTTCAACTGAAGGTTCATCTGGGGAAGGATTCACTTCCAAGTTCAAGTGATTGTTGTTAGTATTCAATTCCCTGTGTAAGTCAAGAAGACTTCACTGGTAAATTATTCCAAAACTTTAAAGAATTAATATTAATATATCACAAATTCTGTGTAAAAGTTAAAAACAACAATAAAATAGGGGAGAGATCACATCCCAGTGTATACTATGGTACATCCCAGTGTATACTATGGTTAATATATCTTGATATGACAACTAGACCAAGGCATTTCAAGAAAGGAAAATTAAGACTAATGTATTTTATAGATATAGAAGAAAAATCTTCAAGGAAATACTAGTAAAAAATCAGCAAATTTATAAAGGATTATAAACTATAACTAAGGGTATGTATCTCAAGAATGCAATTTTGATTCAACATGAAAAAATTAGTATCAATTCCTATATTAATAAAATAAACAAAAAAATATGATCATCTCAAAAGATGTGGAAAAAGCACTTGACCAATCCAAAACCTATTCACGTGAAAAACATGCAGCAACTTAAGACTATAGGGAACCTTCTATACTTTTAAAGGACATCCTTCAAAAACTCAAATACAATCATAAGTTATTAGAAAGGCTGAATATTTTTTCTAAGATTAGGAAACAAGACAAAGGATGTCCACTCTTGCCAGCTGTATTAAATTCTTTCCTGGGGAATGCAGACACAGTAAATTGTCTAGAAAAACAAATGCAAGGCTTAATATTTTTAAATGTGCAATACTTTCCAAATAGGTATGCAGATGTAATGAAAACCACAAGAAATCTAAGGTGACATTTTTTTCCCTAACTTAGCAAGCTTATTCTAAAATTCACATATGATATACAGCCAAATATTTTTGAAGAAAACAAAGTTCACCAAGTAGACTCATACATTCTAATTTCAAAAGTTACTACTAAGTTATCACAATCAAGATTTGTAGAACTAGCATAAAGATAGACATACAGATCAAAGGGACAGAATAAATTGAATGTCTAAAAGTTAATCTTTCTTTTCATGGTCAAATGATTTTACAAGGTTGAGAAGTCAATTCAATATGCAAAACTATTTTCTCATCAAATGGTGCTAGAATAAGTAGATATCTACAAGCAAGTTGAACTCCTTTCTCACATTATACACATAATTAACTCAATGATTATATACTCAAATATAAGAGCTAAATTATCCAAACCCATAGAAGAGAAGATAGCAGTACATCTTCATGGCTTTAGGTTAAACAATGATTTCTAAGATATAACACCACCTATAGCATAAGAGAAAGAATAAAAAAAAATATATGTATTAAACTTCATCAGAATTAAAATCTTATTTGAAGTACACAAGGGAAAGTAAAACAATTAGTCCCCAAAATAGGAGAAATCTTTGCAATCATATAGCTGAAAAAAAGCCTGTTATGCCAAATATACAAAAATGTTTTGCAACTCAAAAATAAAAAGGCAAATACTTCAATAATAATACATCTGCACCCGAATGTTTATAGCAGCACAATTCACTATTGCAAGGTCATGGAAACAATCCAAATGCCTGTCAATTCATGAGTGGATAATTAAAATGTAGTATATGCTCACAATGGAATATTACTCAATCCTAAGAAATGACTGTGAGCTAGCACCGCTTATGCTATCCTGGATTAAGCTTAAGCCGGTTATCCAAAGCGAGGCGACACAAGACATGGAAAATGGGCCCCACATCTACTCGCCATCAAATTGGTACTGACTGATTAAAACTATGGTTTTCAAATGGTGGCAATGCTTACCAGGGATTGGGGGGGGGGGCAATCTTAGGGATGTGGCGAGCACTTCGGAGGGGAAGGGCATAAAACTCTAACCCTTCTTAGGGAGAGCCAAAGATATACAATGTAACCAAAATGTCAAAAAAATAAAAACCAACAAACAAAACTTTTTATTGGGTGGAGGGCAGGCGGGAGGGGGGAGGAGGAAAGGGGTGTATGCTTTCATAACGTGTGTGGTGCACACCACCGGGGGATTGGACACATTGGGGGGGAGGCAGGGGGGGCAGGGGCAATATTTGTAATCCTAACAATATTTGTACCTCCATAATATGATGAAATAAAAGGAAAAAAATTAATTTTGAAAAGAAAAATAATAATAATAATAATGGAAATTATCTGAATATCCATTTCTCCAAGGATACTACAATTATACACTTGCTATGAGGCCAAACAACTTTTGCCATTAGGGAAATTCCAATCTAAAAAACTTGGAAATACAACTCACAAATCTAAAAGGCATATTACTAAAACAAACAAACAAAAAAGCAAATAGCAAAAGGCAAAATACTGTGCAATTCCATTAATGTGTAACTCTGGAAAGAATAAAGGTATAGAGACAGCAACACATTTAGTATTTACTAGGACTTTGGGAGAGGGGTAGGTCAAATTTGTGAGGACAGCAGATTTATTTGGGGCAGTGAGATCATTTTGTATTATATCATACTGTAATGATGGATACATGAGAATGTTTTTTAAATCTTATAGGACATTATAACACCAAGAGTGAACTTAAAAGTATGAAAATTAAATCACTTATTTAGTGGTAAATGGCTACCAGGGAGGGATGCAGAAAAAATATTATATAACAAATGAATGAAATAACCTCCCTGAAGAAAGTTGGGAAAAGAGACTGAGATAAATAACTTAGGGGATAGGTAGGGATGTTGAATCTAAAGGAAAAGGGATTTGCACATAAGCACATTACTTTAGTTGGTAAAGTTTCTCCTCCTGGAAATATAAATGTCCCATTCTGAAACCACCATATAGGTATTTTGGATGATATGATTAAATGAAACAACTTCCTCACTGTTAAAGTGATAGGATACACAAAAATAAGTGGGAATAGGTATATTGACTGATGTGGTACTGCCTTAGATTATATATTGCTAGACTATGAAAATTCATATTTAATTTAATACAGATATATAGGCACATTTTAAATATTTATACATACATGTTTATAATGAGTCAGTATACACAAATATAATTCTTTGCTCTGTCAGCTGACAAGTACTAGAAAACAAATGCCTGAGGAACAATGGTAGTATGCCTGGTGACCAGATCTTTGTTTTTAATTCCATTATCCAATCAAATAAACTCAGGCTCCATGAAAAATGGTGAATACTAGGCTTGGGAAGAGAATGAACATAATTAGCTTGGAGCACCTCATAGTCATAGAACAAAAGAAAACGACAAATGACAAGGTAACCCATTAACAAACAGTAACATCAAATCCTAATTATGGGTGTATTTCAAAATGGCAGAGGACTCAACTGAAAGACCTTTCAATGGCCAACACTGGAACAATATTAGCAATAAAGTAGTAAAATAAAAGTATAAAATAAATATCTATGTTTGTATATGAATATCAATGACTGAATAAATATGTAGTATGTGAAGAAAAACATACACATGTTCATGGTGAACTTTCCAAATAACTTTTGTAAACACTCTATGCATAAGGAGTGGAGCATGAACACCCATTTCTTAAGTGTGTATTGTGTACAGTGACATTGTTTTCTAAAAATACAATATGGAAAGGAGAATAAAAAGAGTAATTTTACAGAGGAAAAATGTGATAGGAACTACCTCCTCCAGGTGATCAAATTAACATCAACAGTGATAAGTCATGTGGATAGCATATAGCCTTGATATGATGTGATGACAATTGGACTTTTACTCTGAGATCTTTATCCCCTAAACTCACAAATCCAGTCTCATCATGAGAGAAACATCAAAGAAATCCCAAATCGGGAATGTCAATATTATCTAATACAAGGAAACTGAAAAAATGTCATTGTGAGAAACTAGGGAAACATCATATCTAAATGTGATGAGATATTCTGAGTGAGTTCCTAGAAGAGAAACTGAACATGAAATGAAAATTAGAAAACCTGAATAAACTGTGGATAGTATTTAATGATCATGTATAATCATGGTTGGTGAATTGTGACTAACATTCCCCACTAACGTAACAGGTTAATAAAAAGGGACACTATGTGTGGGGTATATGTAAACTCTCTCCTATTAATACATTTTCAACTATTCTGTAAATCTAAAACTATTTTTTATTCTTTTTTCTTTTGACAAAACTCAAATGGGGAAAATAAAACCTTTTAAAAAAAAAGTTTGCTTTTTTTAAATGTCACTGCCAAGCTTAAAAAACAGATCATTAGCAGTATTGTTGATGTTCCCTTAATACATCTCCTAGTTTATCTCCCTAATCACTGAATTTAACTATTATTGTGAATTCTCTGTCAATCCCTAAATTTTTATATTTTTCTCTCTACATTTGTATTTGTAACTACAATATTATTTAGTTTTTTGGGGTTTTTATCTCCAACTTTAGAAGAAAGTTTTTTAATTTAATTTTTAAAATTAATTTAATTTAATTTTAATTTAATTTATCCATACCCTAGTCTAATCATGAGAAACCATTAGAAAAATCTATAATGTGGGACATCCTACATAATACCTCACTAGTCCTTTTCAAAAAGGCCAAGGTCATAAAAAAAGAAGTGAAAACTGAGAAACTGTTTCTGAGAAAAAGTAGCAAATGTAAGACACCCTGTTTGCTCATTCTATTTGCCTGCAGGATTTCACAAAGCCTGACTCAGGGACTGAGAGCAGCCCTCAGGAAGAATGCCCTGAAGACAATAAGTGAGGAAGTTCTGAGCATATACAGAACAACCACTACCAGTATATAAACTACAGGCTGAAACACTACTTTGGATCAGACTAAAAGGAATTCTCTGAGAGACTGTCCCAAGTTTGAATCCTCAATAAGACTTCTGAATAAAACTATCTTTATTTAGCAGCTTTATTTTTTCCCTATAGCTGACATGTTTCATATATGACTTGATGTGTCCGGTAGACACTAAGATGGTACCCAATGATCCTCACCTGTTCCTGTATATTACATTATATTCTAATCCCATTCCAGTGAGTGTAAGTAGGAATTGTGACTTGCTTTAAAACAACAGTGTAAAGATATTGAAATGTCACTTGGGTGATTGTATTACACAAGATTATGATTTCTGCCTTCCTAGCCATTTCTCTCTCTTGATGGATTTTATGAAGCATTTTGCCATGTGAGAGAAACCCACTTGGCAAGGCATTGTGTGTAGCTTAACTGGGGATTCTTATGCAATATAGCCTATCTTACAGTTTGCAATATTACATTTTAAACTAATTCAAAATACTTTTCAAATAACACTATACTGCCTGACAGGTAGTGTGAACATTTTATAATAAAAATCCTAATTTCTTTCTCCTTCCCTTTGTATTATTATCATTCAGTTAGCATATATATGCATGAGTGTGCATGTACATATATGTGTACATATACATATGCATATGACATATAAATAGGCATACAATATTGAACATAGGGTTCCTATTATTTTCAAAAAACTCTTTTCTCTTAGAATAAATTGATAATATAATAAAATATTAAAGCAATAAAAAGTTAAAATGATATAAAGCTGACATACTAAGAAAGAAGATGAAATGGAATATTCAATGCTAAAAGAAAACCAAAATACATGGGAAATTAGTTGAAGACAAAAACAGAATGAAAGTACAAAGGCAAAAACAGAAAATAGTCACAAATATGGTAGACATTAATCCAACTATGTCAATTATAACACTGAATGTCAATAATCTAAATGGACTTATTAAAACACACACATTGACAGAGTGGATGAAAAAAAAAAAAAGACCCAACTATATATTGCCTAAAGGACCCCCCCTTTAAACATAAACACAGACATAATTTAAAAGTAAATACCTGGAACAAAATATATTATGCTAACTCTGATGAACAAAAGCAAGAGCAGCTACATTAATTACAGAAACAGCAGACCTCAAAGCATGGAAATTTATGAAGAGTAAAAGAAGGGAATTACACAAAAAGAGAAAGAGTCAATTATCCAGCAACATATCATGATCCTTAAAGTTCATGCTCTTAACAACAGAGTCCCAAAAAAATGAGGCAGATATTGAGAAAACAGAGATGGATCCACTATTATAGTTGGAAATTTCAACATCCTCTATCAGAAAAGTACCGATTCACCACACAGAAAACCAGCAATAACAACACTGAACTGAAAGAATCATCAATCAATTGGATATAATGGACATCTACAAACTACTATATCCAACACCTGCAGATTACACATTCTTTTTAAATTCATAAGAAACATTCAGCAAGATATATCACATTCTAGACCATAAAACATACCATAACAAATTTCTCTGAGATCACAATAGAATTAAATTAGAAATCAAAAGATAACTAACTGGAAAGATAAGTGAAGTATCCCCAAATGCATAGGAATTAAACAACACACTTCTGAATAACATATGGGCAAAAAAGAAACCTCCAGAAAAAATTTTTTTAAAAAATTTTCAAATACATGAAGATTAAAATACAATTTATCAAGATGTGTGGGATGCAAGAAAGCAGAGCTTTTAAAAAAAATGTGCATCATTGAATGCACATATAGGGAATAGACGAAAGATTCCAAATCAATCATGTAAGTTTCCACCTTTGTGCCTAGAAAATGAAGAGTATGTTAAATCCAAAGTAAATAAAGAAAAGTCATAATATTGTTATGAGAATAAAAACAAAGTAAAGTTAAAACAAATGGATTTTTCAAATAAATTGTTTGCTTAATAGTTCTCAGAACATAGAAATATCCAAAATTAACAGGAAAAAAACAACACCTCAATCAAAACCCTTGCTTGAGGGCATGCGGAGGTGACTTCCCTCTGAAATGGGGAGATAATATAATAATTTTCATAAATAATCAATCAAAGGCAAAACAAAGTAGGGTAATTTCATGTGTTCATTAAGGTTTATGGTATATTTCAGAATGGCTAAAATAATAGATTCTAAATATTCTCACCATAAAAAAAAATTGGTAAGGTGGTGAGGTAATGTCTATGTTAATTGTTGATTGAATCTTTGTACAATGTATATAATCTTTCACATTGTAATCCATAAATTGTAACACAATCATTAGCAGTTAAAAATAAATACGTCAGCAAATGCATTATCTATGAATCATCCACAAATAAGACATTCAGGTTAAGTATTACCATGAACATAACATGAAAGGGCACATCTGATAGAAAGAATGAAGTTAAAATATACGTTACAATTCGAGAAACAGGAGGAAATCACAAGGGTTTTAAGAAAATAAACATGGAAGACAACCGGCAAACGCAGCGGTGTGATAATTCACATGCCCGCGGAGAAACATCCTGTATAGCCACCCTCTGACGACCGACCGCATGATGCCCCCCTCCACCCGCCGCCCCCGACCCTGAACCCCGCCGCTCCCCTCTCCCCATCACCCAGTCACCCCATCATCCCATCCCCCATGCCTCCATGCCCCCGTCCCCCAGCACCCCGCCGCCCACCTGCAGCTGCAGCCTGCATCCCAGCATCTCTCTGCCTCGTCATCCTTGCCTGAGCTCAGCCTCTGGTCCCCTCACTGCGCAGCTGCGGACCTTTCTCAGCACTTCCTGTCAGGCTGCTCTCAGCCTCCCAGGGGGTGGCATCCAGTTAGCTGTGAGACGAGGACTGACACCATTTCCTGATTCATGCATCCCACCTACACCTGCAAAATGACGGAGAGTACAAGAACCAGGTGGTGTGGGAGGTCTGAGGGATGGAGAAAGAAACAAACAGGAGCATTCAAGGTCCCCTAACCTGCCAGTCCGACAGCCTGTGCATCCTCTTTGTCCCTCTTCACCCTTGTTCCTTCTTAGAACCAGCCAGTCCAGGTAATGCCTAGGGTCCTGCCTCACTCGTTAGGTCTTTCTGACAGACAGACCTCGTGGGCTGGGATACCATTTCAAGGAACAAGGCACAAACACTCAAAATCCCAGCACACAGCATGCATTCCTCTGTGAGCTCCCCCTGCAAGCCTCCTGAACCTGCCCTCTCTCATCTGCCCGGTCCCACCATGGTCTGACCTCCCTGCTCCTGTCACCCTCACACATTAGTGATCCCAGGGCCCCTTCCAATCCACTTCCCTCTTCTTTTGCCCTGGCCTGTACCACAGACACACTGTTTCCTCTTCTCTTTCCTCTCCCTTGTTTGCTGAATTCTCTGCTCCTCACTCTTCAGAATCTCCTCCATGTCCCTCCTCTTAGAGGCTTTCCTTGTCCTTCCCACTGCAAGTCTGATGCCTGTTCTCTGAGTTCCCAACGCAGCTCCTGCATACACAGCTTAGATTTCTGTAAGATTTCTCAATACCCACTTGACCAAAATCTTGGAGAATATGAAAATGTTGTCTATGTTTTTGCCCCGAGAGCAGGCTCACATGTGTGGACAAAAAGCAACAGAAAAGATTCTCTGATAAATAAAAATGGACCAAGCATTAAAAAAATAAAAATATTTCCTAGTTAATAAAAAATATAATTTATAACTCCTTTTTTACAAGACCACATTATACATTATAAAAATATGTGCTGCCTGTCTGTAGATGTGTGTACACAGTTTCTGAGTGGTATTTTACTTATCACGCTACAATTCGAGAAACAGGAGGAAATCACAAGGGTTTTAAGAAAACAAACATGGAAGACAACCGGCAAACACAGCGGTGTGATAATTCACATGCCCGCCGAGAAACATCCTGTAAAGCTATCCTCTGCCCTCTGCTGACCGACCACATGCCCTTCCCCACCCGCCGCCCCAACCCCCACCACTCCCCTCTCCCCATCCCCCCATCTCCCATCCCCCACACCCTTTTGTGATTGTGTTTTTGTTTATTTTTACTGAAAAATAGTTAAAATCAGTGGTTAGGAAGACAAACTAAGGAGCTATACCAAGGAAACATCAACAATACTGCTAATGATCTGTTTTTTAAGCTTGGCAGTGATATTTAAAAAAGCAAACTTTTTTTAAAAAAAGAATCGCTTTATTTTCCCATTTAAGTCTTTACTATTAAGTAAAAATAAAAATCAAACAATATGATGAAGTTCACAACTGCACAGTCACAATCTTTACATTCAGAGTGGGGGTGTTAGTGTTCTGTCTGTAGAAATTAATGTCTTTGAGAACCTTTCACAAAGAGAGCAAAACTTACCATTTAATGGAAATTTTCACAGTTCTTTTTAAGCATGAGACTGAGCCAATTTTTGTAGGGGAGCCCAGAATAGTCTCTGGTTATTTCCTTTTCAACCAGAGTTATTTCAGAGAAATTCTGGAAAATGCTAAAATAGGTAATGTATAACACCTATCTTTTTAAATAAAAATTATATTCCCATTCAATTTAGGAAAGAGTGATACAGGAAGATATTAAAAATTTAAAATATTATTTCAAAAAACACTTATTATTTTTTCCAGAAGGAAGGATTTAATACATAGGACAAAAGTACTAATTTCATTATAGATGATATTTATTCGACAAAAGAAAAAAAAAACGAACAAAATGTATACCCAAGTGTTAAAGGCATTTGCACACCACAACAAGCAACAAGAAGTAATATTATAATACAAGGACTGGAGTGGTAAAATCTGATTGGTCAGCAAGCAGAATGATTGTTCAACAAACTCATCCTTATACAAAAGAACTGAATTACCCAAACTTCCCTACCAAGGGATTTCACGGAGCAGCTGTTCTTAAGCATGTAGACCCACCTGTGGCTCCAACTTTGCTGGGTGTAGTCTGGAGGAGAACCATGTCCACAGGGTTCTGAGGCAGTATCCAGAGTTGCTTCTCCAAGTCTTCATGGTGAATGTATTAAATAAATAAAGTAAGGTGTGTTACTGAGACGATTTTTTGAAAAAGACATTAGAGACACAAGAGACAACAGTAATGTCTGAAAGTTCTAAACTCACTGCTCCACTCAAAGTACAGCTGAGAATACTGGTATAGGAGCAAGGCACAGACGTTTTTACTCTTCATTTACTTCATTTTTGAGAAGCACAGATAGTAAAAAAAAAAAATGGTCTTTGAAGAGAAAATTTGTGTGTTAAGTCTTTTAGTAACTAAGAAAGTATGGTATTTGCACAGAGACAGAGGCATAAACCAATGAATACAAAAGAAAACAGTAGAAAAAGAAATATTCATAAAAAAACAAATCATGGCCAGGTGTGGTGGTTCACGTCTATAATCCTAGCATTCTGAGAGGCCGAGGCAGGAGGATCACTCAGGTCAGGAGTTCAAAACCAGCCTGAGCAAGAGTGAGATCCCATCTCTACCAAAAAACAAAAAACAACAACAAAAAAAAGAAATTAATTGTCCAACTAAAAATATATAAAAATTAGCTGAGCATGGTGGCACATGTCTGTAGTCCCAGCTACTTGGGAGGCTGAGGAAGAAAAATTGCTTGAGCCTAGGAGTTTGAGGTTGCTGTGACCTAGGCTGACGCTAGGGCACTCTAGCCAGGGCAACAGTGTGATACTCTGTCTCAAAAAAAAAAAAAAAAAAAACAGCTGGGCACAGTGGCTCACCCCTGTAATCCTAGCATACTCTGGGAGGCCAAGGATTCTTTGAGCTCAGGAGTTTGAGACCAGCCTGAGCAAGAGTGAGACCCTGTCTCTACTAAAAATAGAAAGAAATTAGCTGGACAACTAAAAATATACATTGAAAAAATTAGCCGGGTATGGCGGTGCATGCTTGTAGTTCCAGCTACTCAGGAGGCTGAGGCAGTAGGATGGCTTGAGCCCAGGAATTTGAGGTCGCTGTGAGCTAGGCTGATGCCATGGCACTCTAGCCCAGGCAACAGAATGAGACTCTGTCTTAAAAAAAAAAAAGAAATTAGGCCGGGCGTGGTGGCTCACGCCTGTAATCCTAGCACTTTGGGAGGCTGAGGCGGGCGGATTGCTCAAGGTCAGGAGTTCGAAACCAGCCTGAGCGAGATCCGGTCTCTACCAAAAATAGAAATAAATTAATTGACCAACTAAAAATATATACAAAAAATTAGCCGGGCATGGTGGCTCATGCCTGTAGTCCCAGCTACTCGGGAGGCTGAGGCATTAGGATCGCTGAGCCCCGGAGATTGAGGTTGCTGTGAGCCAGGCTGACGCCACGGCACTCACTCTAGCCTGGGCAACAAAGTGAGACTCTGTCTCAAAAAAAAAAAAAAAAAAAGAAATCATTTAAGTTAATAAATGGGGAAAATCATTTTTTCTAAATATATTCTACAAAATTGAATATATCATAGAAATAATAAAAATCTCAATTTTCCTCCATATTCTAAGCAAAATTAAGTTCATCTGGACCATAGACCTATATATAAATATTGAATATAATATATAAAACATATAGGAAAATATCTGCATGACTATTAGATAGGCTATGAAACCAGGCTTATAAAGAATTTATCATATAAAAAGAAGCATTTACACAGTTGATATGAGCAAGGACTTTGGAGACAGACTGAGACAAACTCAAGGATTTTTTTAATCCTTTTAGCGCTTTCTATCATATTCACAAGTAGACCATGGGTGTGGTAATAGTACCTACCTATGAGATGTTGAGTGGATTGTATGAATAAATAACACATAAAACATGTATAATATCAGTCTATACTTAACATGTAGACTATTTTTTACAATAAATTGTGAGACATATCTTTTAGATCTATTATAACACATATCATTGTTTTATATATCAAAATGAAAGAACAAAATCACAATGAAACAAAAACTTCTTATCACTTGCATTTTTATAGATTTAATTTTTTTTCAAACATATACATGTAAATATTCTTCATATCAGTCACTCTTATGATTAGAGAAGAGGGAACATATACAAAAAACACAGTGACAAAGGTATTTCCAAAATTTCTTCTATTCAGATCTTCTATTTTGAATCACTTTTCAACTCATCTTGTCCCCACAGTATCATCATCTGTGCTAACCAGAAGTATTGGTACTGCTGCATTTCTTGGGAGAGTCCTATGCTTCTCTCTCTTTGCAAGTTTTTTATAAAATTATTTTATTTTATTTTTTTATGGTATCATCATAGCTCACCACAACCTCAAACTCCTCAGCTCAAGAGATACTTCTGTCTCAGCCTCCTGAGTATCTGGGATTCCAGGTGTGGGTCACCAGGCTTGGCTATTTTTTTTTATTATTTTTTTGTACAGACAGGGTCTCCTTATGTTGCTCAGGCTGCCTTTGAGCTCCTGACCTCAGCCTCCCAGTGCTGGGATTACAGGTGTGAGTCAACACATCTAGCTTCCCTTTGTACATTTTGATGCTGATATGCAAAGAATGAAAATTTTTTACACCCAAAGGAAAAAAAAGACATTCTATAAAAAAGAGACCTGCACTCAAATGTTTATACCAGCACAATTCACAATTGCAAAGATGTGAAACAACTTAAGTGCCCATCAATACATGAGTGGATTAATAAAATGTAGTACATGTATACCATGGAGTATTACTCAGCCATAAAAAATGGTGAACTAATATCTCTTGTATTAACCTGGATGAAACTGTAAATCATTCTTCTAAGTGAAGTATCACAAGAATGGAAAAAAAAAAAAAAGCACCACATGCACTCACCGTATTGGTACTAATTAATCAACACTATGTGCATATATGGAAATATTCATCGGAAATCAAGCAGGTGGGAAGGAGAAGGAGGGGGTGGGTAAATTCACACCTAACAAGTACGGTGCACACCACCTGGGTAATGAGCACACTTACAACTTTTTCTCAAATGGTACAAAAGCAATTTATGTAATCAAAACGTTTGAACACCCATAATATTCTGAAATGAATTTTTTTAATTGTAAAAACAATCATTTTTATACCAAGTTCACGTTTGTATACATGAAGATAATCACGTTATAACTACCTTCTGGAAAATATTTTAATTCTTTCAAACTTAAGTTGCATCTCTATTTGAAAGATGTTGAAATGTGCACTATAGAATTAATTGAATACACTGTTCTACTCTGATTGCCCTTTTATCAGTGTTAAATAATAGTGACGTGACTCATCTTCTGTAGTCTGGTCAGGTATTCAGGAAACATTCTTATATATATTTTCACAGAAACTGACCACTTCATTTATATTCTACCTAGTCAATAAATATATTAGAATTATTAGCAAACTACTAGAATCACTATTTTGTTCATGGATAAATAGTTTTGTAATCTTTGGTTTAATAGATAAGTTGAAAAGGAAGATAGAAATTGTAAAGAGTTATTTGAAACATTCACTGAAATGGTAGCTTTCTAGTTTTCTAAAGATTTAGAAAATGCTGTATCTTGTAAATATATGCCCTAATCTTAGAAATATGAGCAATGCTCCTCAAATCTGCATTCCACATCCAGCTTTTCAATCCATAAATTTGTTTCACTCCTGTTCTTCATTCCAATTCATATTTTTAATCACACGGACAATGTTCATACAAATTACCTTATGATAAACACACATATTTTCATTATAGCAATGATATAGAATCAACCTAAGTGTCCATCAACAGATAATAGGATAAAAATGAGATATATATCTGTATGTATACACACAATTACATAGTATTCAGCCATGAAAAATAATTGAATCATTTTTTACGGCAGCATGGAAGAAACTGGAAGCCATTATCTTAAGTAAAACTATTCAGAAAAAGAAAGTCAAATATTGCATGTCATCATTTGTAAGAAGCAACTAATAATGTGTACCCATAGTCATAAAGTATAGAATAATAGGTATTACTGGAGCCTCAGAAGGGGAGCAGGGTGGGAGGGGGATGAAGGATGAGAAATTACTTAATGAGTACACTGTACATCTTTTGGATTATAATAACACTAAAAGCCCAGAATTTACCACTTGGCAATATATATATGTAATAAAACTGCACCTGTACCCCTTACATTTACAAAAACAAAAATGAATTACGGTTTTCATAAAATTTTTGTTCTCCCCCTTATTACTCTTATCTATTCTATTTTTGAGTACTTGGACATTGGAATTGGTTTTCCTGTTTCCTCGCAAATATATTGAATAAGGAAGAAAGTCATATAATACATGATTTATGATTTTGACTGTACCTTCATGTAGAGTTTTAGATTCCCGAAGGCTGAATTAGAAGAATGTGAAATCATGATCTCAAATATATGAACCATTCATTCATTGAATTCTAAAGTGGGGATGGTGTTTGATTCTTGCCTCATGATGTGTTCTAAGAATCTGGATTATATGCAATGACACCTTTTTGAGAATTGTGATCAAGCCAGCCTTTGTGAATTCCATTGATTGAGGATATTGTGGGAAATCATAACTTTTATGCTATCAAAGACTCATGTGTGAGGAATCCATGCTCAGTTTTGTGTCTCTATGCTTGTGACATCATTTAAGTACAGTTTTGTGTCTATCAACTACCTTCTTTAAACCTGAACACTTAGAGCTCATTGATTTTGAATTTCCACCTTGAGGTAGCCCTCATGTTTGGATCTACTTGTGGCTCATTTATGGCCTGACACTCGGGCTTTTTTTTTTCTTTCTTTCTTTTTTTACTATATTTTTTGGTGAGGCAGGATATTCACAATCATGAGCGATGTAAAACAGTATGCATTGAAATGAAGAGGAAAAGGGGATTTGTCAAGTTATTTCAGTATTACAGTATCTCCATTTAAAATGAAATAGTTGAAATAATTCTTCACACGTCAAGATGTAAAATATAAGTGAGGGATAAAGTATATGAGGTTAGGGGATCTAGAAGACTTCTTGAATTGTAGATGCTCAAGTACAGCACCTCAATAATCCTGCAATCCTGATTATAGGAGTGAGACGTGTGGTTGAGATGAGCTGTATCTGTCACTTAAGGGTTCCAGGCTGCTGAAAACTCATGGCTTACTGAAGCTATCAATGTGCTGTGAAGAACGTATCTCATAATTATAGACCATGAATGCTATAGTCTTGACATTGTGGATCTCCATGGCAGTGCAGTCTGCAGTATCATACTTTGATTGGCTTTGTAGGCATGTTGCCTGGACTACCTGGTGCTACCCTGCATAGTGTTGTGACTTGTGAACAGGGACCTATGTGGGGAATGAGTGGACAGTCCTCCAAGATTGGGATTCTTTGTTTAGATGACACATACGCAGAGTCATCATTTATACTGTGTCCATTTCTTGGATCACTGCATGGCAGGTTGGTGACATGTTGTACTGTATTATTCTTTTGTTCTTTCTACAAGGCTTTCTCTACCTTTGTACAGCACACTCTGAATCACTCACATGACTTCACCTGTCAAAAGTCTGTTGTCTACATATTCATATCAAGGTCTTTGTAAGCAAATACTGAATTAAACAACCACATTTACAACCATTGTTTTTAGCCCAGCTCACTTGTGACAATAAGGATATCTATACTATAGCTATTGGTAAAAGGCAATATAGTTACTAGATGTGAATATTAACAGAATTCATAGTCCCAAAGAACTCATGATGGAGTCTGTAGAATGAAAATAATTATCAAAAGGTTTTCTCAAAGGCTTAAAGATACAGTTGTCTTATAAGCACTTGAAGAACAAATCCCAATACCAACAAAATATTCTCCTGAATCCAGAAATATAATTAATGTACCCTGTCACTAACATTTCTTAATCTTGTCTTCTAATGTCCAGAAGTCATATCTTCCAAAAAGGTGCTAATGGGATCCTGCAGGTACACTGCTAAACAATATACCACAATGGGGCTGTGTGGCCCTTGATCTCTTCACTGCAGCTCAAAGAGGGACATGCACAGTCATACATACTGAATGCATGTGTATATATACCTGATCACCAGGGGTTATTTCCTCTGTACTGAAGAAAGTTTATGGTGAGGTACAGGCCATCTAGCAGTTAACTGGAGACCCACTATAGCAATGGTGGGAATGTCTCTCATCCTCCTGGTGTTGAACCCTTTTAGTGTTAGGAGCTGCTGGCTATGGTCTGGTAATACTGTGTTGTTCTCTGTATTGTTCTTGTGGCCTTTGGGCCCAAGGGGCCTCCCTATGGGCCCATGTGTCAGTCATGAAACCCATTACCTAGGGGGTAGAATGTAATAAATTGCCATACGTAGATAACAGGTTTCTTAGGCCAATCTAAGATGAATGCCACAGTGTTTTTTCTGGCCTTCCCCCCCTGATTAGTTGGCCTTCTGGGGAGACATGAGTCAGCATACTCATGTAACCAAGGTATTATCTCCTGTGTGAACTCATGTGATCGTGCTTTCCCATGGCATGTTGCCACTATTGTTCAGAGCCATATGTAAGTGCTTGCCACGTTCTCAGCCATGCTTTTCCACTGCTGCTGTAACTCCTCGACAATAAAGAGCATGTCTCACCTGCCTGCAGCCACTTGTCTTTTCTTCCAATTTCCAAAGTCTGTGCCACAGCACAAGCTAGCCACAGAGCATTCTCCGCACACGCATTCATGCTAAATAACAAAACACATAGCAAATTAGGCATATAAAAGAACTTTCTGGCCAGGTGCTGTGGCTCACGCCTGTAATCCTAGCTCTTGGGAGGCCGAGGCGGGCGGATTGCTCAAGGTCAGGAGTTCAAAACCAGCCTGAGCAAGAGCGAGACCCCGTCTCTACTATAAATAGAAAGAAATTAATTGGCCAACTGATATATATATTAAAAAAAATTAGCCAGGCATGGTGGCACATGCCTGTAGTCCCAGCTACCCGGGAGGCTGAGGCAGAAGGATCACTCAAGCCCAGGAGTTTGAGGTTGCTGTGAGCTAGGCTGACGCCACGGCACTCACTCTAGCCTGGGCAACAAAGCGAGACTCTGTCTCAAAAAAAAAAAAAAAAAAAAAGAACTTTCTCCACTTTAAAGGACATACAGAAACAACTCTCATAACATTATAAGTTATCAGAGATGCTCAATATGCTCTCCAAGATTAGAAACAAAGCAAGGCTGTCCTGTCACCTATATTCAGCTCTGTATTGAAGGATATAGCCAGGGAAATTAGTCTAGAAAAATAAGTATGAGGCCTCCAATTTGCAAAGGAAGTAAAACTATGCCTTTTTGCAAATAGCATGGCCTTGTATATGGAAAATGCTAAGAATTCTAATGAAATACGACTAGTATTAAAGAAAAGAGTTCAGCAAAGTAGCAGCACACAAAGTCAATATGCAAAAACCATTTGTATTTCTATACACTAGCAATTAAGAGTTTAAAAAGTCTCAGAGAACCACTACATTTTAAAGAGCGTCAGGGGAGCGAGCCTTGATGGCTGACTGGAGACATTACTTGTTGGACCATTCTGGGTGAAAGATAGAATACTGGACTGAGGAGAGCAGAGAAGAGTCACGGCTCAGGTGTGAATCACAGAAACAGAGACATCTGGGGACCCCATGGAGAAAAATTGTAAAACTGAGAAAGAAGAAGATAGAGAGGTGAAGATAGCAGTGTGAATCAGACCCAGAGTGGTGCAGAGCCCTATGAAAGGGTGAGGGGGGTTTCGCTATCCCACCTAGGTGACTTTGGTGAACAATGGGACAAAAAGTATACTGAAGATGCTTCCACCCTCCATGAACCCCAACACAGTGGCTAAATAGGAATACTGGGGAGACCCAGCAAACCCTAGGTGTTTGGGTGTCCATAAGAGACACCCCATGGGATAGTGTCATGAGAGACCAGAGTGCCAGCTTTCTTACACATTGCCAATTTTTTCTCTGCACCTCCCCTATTCACAGGATCAAGGAAAGTAATTTGAATTTAGGACAACTAATAGCCACAACCCCTCCCAACCCATTGCAACTTCGAGAGAGAGTACTCTGAATCTAGAAGCTCATGAATGTTCATGAATAGCTGCTTCTTTACAGCTGGTGAGTGCTCCCAGGTGAGCTCACCACAGAGAGCAGGGGAAGACACAATTTGGGAACTTCCTGCCCACTGGGGTTTCATGAGATTGCAGTCAGGCAGCTTAGGATAGGGCTGGTTCTGGTGGCCCCAGATATGAGACCAGTATAGGGAGATGCAGGGGAGAGGTTTCAGTCCTAGATTCAGGTGGCAAGGAAGCTGTTGTGGACATATCCAGCAAGAAATTGTGGAGGGATGCTGAAGAATGGGGATATGTGTGTATGCCCTCCCACCCCCACTGGAGAATCTCCATATTGGATAGGGGTGTGGCACTTGGAGAGAAATAGTCTAGCCCCTGGCTTCCATGGCAACCAAATGCCTTGGTTATGCCAGCTGAATAGGAACAGTGGCCCCTCCCCCTACCAATTACAATAGGGAGTGCAGCTCAAGCCAAGAAATTTCTGAGTGGCCACTTCTCTATGACATGAGCATGCCCCTGGCTAGGCCTCATGCTCAGGGGATTCACTGATCTCCTCATGTTCCCTATCATCCTGAAGCAGCTGGCTTGGTAGGACAGTGGAAGACCTCTGGAGTAGCAGTTCCAGTGCCAGGTAGGTGATGACATTTCACAGGGTTGGGACAAGGTACTCCAGGAAGTTGTATATGCTGTGAATCAGCACCCAAAATTGATATTGTTTCTCCCATAACTAAGGTTCACAGATCCAGGAATCAAGGTGTGTAAATGGGAGTAGTGGCACCACTCACTTTTACCCCTAGTAACCCATAGCAAAGTTTTTACTTCTAGTTCTCCCAACCTTATGCTCTGCTGGCCTAGAGGTCTTAGTTCCAGAAGGTAGAAGGCTATTACCAAAAGACAAAAAGCTGATTTCACTGACCTGAAAGTTCAGACTGCCACCTGGCCACTTTCAGGTCCTCATACCCCTGAATCGACAGAACAAGAATATATTTATGGTGTCAACTGGAGTGATTAAATACCCATGGGAAATAGGACAAATATTCATTTTTGTTCTATCCATAACCCTAGTCTACTAATGGGAAATCAGACTAATACTGCTAAATGGAGGTAAGATAGAGTATGTCTGGAATACAGGATATCCTTTAAGGCATGTCTTAGTATTATAATAACATGCACTGCGATTTAATTCAATGGAAATCACAACCACCCAATCAAGTCAGGTATACAAATGTTTCACATTCTTAAGGAATATTTGTATGTGTCACCCCACCACGTAAAGTACCATGGCCAGCAGAGGTGCTTTCTGAAGACAAAGATAATTCAGAATGAGTAGTAGAAGATGGTAGTTATAAATATCTGGTATGACTGTGTGACTAGTTATAGATATGGAGACTGTAATTGTTATAAATATTTATTCACCATTTTGCTAAGAGTATGTTTGTGTATATACATATATTAAGCAAAATCTGTGTTTTCATTTTACTCCTTTTATTTTATCATGTAACATGAGAGATATTGGCTTTATATCAATATTTAAGGATTATTATTTTATATAATAGTATTGAAGTTATGGAATATCAAGATAAGAGCATACATTGCCCAAGGACTTTGCCTTCTCTCAAGGTGAAAAGATTACTACTTTTTTCAGTTGTTTTCATGATACTTGTATTGTGTTAGGTGTAACTGTTACCTTGTTACTGTTTTTACTTGGAGAGTAAGTATGGCTTCAGGGGATGCATATTCATGTCAAGGGAAGATATCAGGATGGTTATTTTTAGGTATCAAGTAGATTGGATTAAGGATTACCTGGAGAACTGATAAAGCATTACTTGTGGGTGTGTCCATGAAGGTGTTTCCAGAGGAGAGATTGCCTTGTGAGTCAGTGGTCTGAGTGGGGAAAGATTTCCCCCTAATGGGGGGTGGCACCTCAGGGCTTTCCTAGAGAGTGTCTGCCTAGGTAGAAATGAACTGGATGCAGGTGAGACAAGCACCACAAAGACATCTGCCAGTATAATCAAGTTTCCTGAGACAGTGATAGGGAAAAGCCCCTGCCCGGGGGCCCTGAGGCAAAAACCACTACTGATTGGAATATATGTGAAGCTTACAGCTGATCCTACAGTTCCCACCGTTAATTGGATATTGGTTGTGTGTAACCCCAAGAAGTGTATAAAACTGGAGAGAAATAAGGAAGCGGTGCTCAGAATTTGGTGGCATGCCCCTCTGAGCCCGCCGGTAAAATAAAGCTGATTCTCTCCCTCTGTGTGCTCTCGGTTCTTTCCCTGGTCAATCACTGGTCACTTGCCACAACATTTTGGTTCCCTGACTGGGAAAGCTGACTTCCCTGGCCCCTTGAAGCCACCAGATTGGGAACGAGCTCGGCGGACGAGGGGACCTCTGAGCTCCCGTATGCCGCAGAGACTCAGACTCACCCGGACACTCCGGAAGGAAGGACCAGTCAGAGTCAGGACGTTGGACAAGGTAGGGTCCCAGGACCCGCCCGAGATAGGCCCATCAGCGAGATGGAAGAGGAGCTTGACCTCCTAAGGATAGGCCTGTCAGTGAGAGAGAAGAGGAGCCTGATTTCTCCTAAGGATAGGCCCATGAGCAAGATGGAAGAGGAGCTTGACTTCCTAAGGTAGAGGGACCAACCGGGGGAGGGAATGTGTAACCTCTGTTTGAATGTGAAGTGGAAGAAACACAGTGACTGATTGCACTCCTTGTGTCTGTGGCCCCACGGCTTAGGCTACGGGGTTTGAGTGGGTGCTAACCTGCGGTTCTGTTGCGGCATCGTATGGCATAACGGCGAATCACTCCACGTGATAAGGAGTGACCGGGCCCGGGGTCTACATGGGTGTGCTTTAGCCAAGATGCACCTAAGTTCCTGTGAGGGACACAGCCAGGTGGAAACCTGAGAGAAGCCCCTACCCCTTGTCTGTCCTGTCCATCTTGCAACAAAAGAGAAAGGGAAGAAGCCAGAGCAGGGACTAGAGTCTGGGCAGGGACAAGGTTCAGAAAAGGAGTGTTTGTGGTGGTGTAGGGAATGGGAGCACTGGTTAAACCAGTTAAAACATGGAAGGGTCCAAATCCAAGCCAACAGTTCTAAGGTGCATGCTGATAAATTTCACATGTTCAGTATGGAGAGTGGTGACTGGGACTCTGGGTCACCTAGAGCAATTCCCATACATAGATTCATGGCTGGAGATTGCCCAAACTATGCCCCCTTGGGTTCTGTTCTGCTCTGAAAAGGGACAAAGTAGGGTTCTAGCAGCTCAGAGGGTCCGTGGTCTCAAGGCAAAGCCGATACATCAAGGAGACCTGATTGAGGACCCATCACCGCCTTACAACCCACAAGTATATCTGCCACCTGCTCTGTATTATCAGCCTTTCTCCACCACTGACCTATTAAATTGCAAACACCATACCCCATCCTACTTGGAGAAACTGCAGGCCCTCATCAACCTCCTGGAGTCTATCTTCCAGACTCACCATCGTACGTGGGAAGATTGCTGGCAACTCCTACTGACCCTCTTTAGCACCGAAGAATGGCTTCAAAACATGACTGGAACTTGGAAGTGGCTGCAGAAATGGGCTCCGGCAGGCACCCTGGATGTGGAGCAATATGCATCACAAGTGGTGCTGGAGACCAGCCCAGAGTGGGATTTCAATGCACCAGAAGGACAAGCAGCATCTGAGTGATACTGATAGACTCTTCTCCAAGGAGTGTGGGAAGGGGCCAAAAAGCCGACCAACATGAACAAGGTTGCCGTAATTACCCAGAAGCCAGAAGAGTCACCCGATGACATCTATGAGCACCTCTGTGAGGCATACCGAATATACACACCTTTTGACTCGGAGGTAGCCGAAAACCAGAGAATGGTGAATGCAGCGTTTGTCGGGCAATCGGCCTCCGACATCAGGAGGAAGCTGCAGAAACTTGAAGGATTATCAGGCATGAGCATCACACAGTTGATGAAGGTGGCTGAGAAGGTGTATGTCAACTTGGACTGGACCGCTCACAGGGAGAAAGATCAGAGGATGAAGAAAAAGGCCACCCTCCTGGCCGCTGCCCTCAGTAGACCCAACCCGTCCAAGTGGCCTGGACCCCCACAAAAGGGGGAAACCAGAGGATGGGCACCCCTTGGAAGAGACCAGTGCACCAATTCCAAGGGGTTTGGCCACTGGAAGAGTGAATGCCCCCACAGGGAAGTCACCTGTCACAAGGGAGGACCCCGTTTGTGACTATCCAACAGAATCCAGAAGCCCAAGAGCTAGTGGGGCTTGCTAGCATTGACTCTGAGTAGGGCCGACTGGGTTCCTTCAATCTTGGCCCTCAGGAACCTATGGTCAAGACAAAAGTAGGGGGCCAACAAATGACATTCATGGTGGACATTGGAGCAGAACACTCAGTTGTGACAACCCCATGGCTCCGCTTACAAAGTGGGATACAACTATAATTGGAACTACCAGGACTCAGGTAGCTAGACCCTTTGCCAGTCCCAGATATACCAAATGGGAAACCATCAGATAAGGCATGAGATCCTCTACATGCCAGACTCTCTGGTGCCTCTCTTGGGGTGGGATTTGCTGAGCATGTATGAGGTAAATGCCATCCAGAGGACCAAGTAGCTGGAGGAGACCGAGACTCTGTGGATCCAGATGTAGCTCTCCCAGGTCAAGGCTGAAGAAACTGGCAGAGAAAGATAAGGAGTGCACTAACCTGAGGCAAAATCACCAGCAGGCAGTGGAGTCCCTGCAGGCTTCCCTGGATACTGATACCCACAATGAAGCACTGAGGCTCAAGAAGATGGAAGGTGACCTCAGTGACCTAGAGCTGTAGCTGGGCCATGCTACCTGTCAGGCCATAGAAGCCCAAGCAGCCACACGGCTGCTGCAGGCCCAGCTGAAGGAGCAGCAGGCGGGGCAGGATGAGGAGCAGCGGCTGGCAGCTGAGCTCCAAGAGCAGGTGCAGGCCCTGGAGTGCTGAGCTGCACTGTTGGCTTCTGAGCTGGAGGAGCTGCGGGCTGCGCTGGAGCAGGGAGAGGGTAGCTGGTGGCTGGCTGAGTAGGAGCTGTTGGAGGCCATTGAGCACCTCAACCTGCATTCGCAGAACACAGGCCTTCTGAACCAGAAGCAGCAGCTCGAGGTAGATTTGGCCCAGCTGAGTGGGGAGTTGGAAGAGGCTGCCCAGGAGAGGCAGGAGGCAGAGGAGAAGGCCAAAAAGGCCATCACTGATGCCACCATGATGGCTGAAGAGCTGAAGAAGGAGCAGGACACAAGTGCACACCTAGAACAGATGAAGAAGACACTAAAACAGATGGTGCGGGAGCTCCAGGTCTGGCTTGAGGAGTCTGAACAGGCTGCCCTCAGAGATGAGAAGCAGGTTGCTATGGGGGTACTGGTGCAGACTGTGGCCCCCTGGCAGAGGCCAGTAGCCTGTCTGTCCAAACAGCTGGACTTGGTAGCATCAGGATGGCTGCCTTGCCTGAGAGCACTGGCAGCAACCATCTTGCTAATCAAGGAGGCAGACAAGCTTACGCTTGGGCAAAATATCCATGTGTAGGTCCCACAAGCAGTAGTGGCTTTGATGAATGCATCGGGGCACCAATGGCTATCTAGCACTAGGCTGGCGCAGTACCAGGGACTGCTGTGTGAAAACCCATGCGTCACCATCAAGACTGTGCGGACTTTAAACCCTGCCACCTTCCTTCCTACTGAGCCAGGGCACCCGGACCATGACTGCACCAAGGCCGTGGAGGAGATCTATGCAAGCCGGCCAGACTTGAAAGATAGTCCATTGCCGGTGCCCAACCTGGAGCTCTACATGGACGGCAGCAGCTACATCCAGGATGGCAAATCGTTGGCTGGCTATATTGTCACCACATAGAGCAAAGTCACCATGTCAGCCCCTCTGCCTCAGAGATGATCAGCCCAGAGGGCAGAGTTATGGGCGCTCATCCAAGCCCTCAGGTATGCCCAAGACAAAAGGGCCAATGTATACACAGACTCCAAATATGCCTTCGCTGTGGTGCACGTACACGGGGCAATCTACAAGGAGAAAGGGCTATTCACCGTGGGTGGAAAAGAAATTAAGAATAAGGAAGAAATTCTTCAACTATTAGAAGCAGTGAGGGCACCAAAGGAGATTGCAGTCATCCATTGCAGGGGGCCCCAGAAGAGCACAGACTCAGTTGCCAACAGTAACCGTCTGGCAGACCAGGCAGCAAGATAGGTGGCCAGTATGGGACAACCAGAGGATGCATCCACCAAATGCCAGATCCTCCTCGCCCCTGAGTGGCCAGAGAAACCCCAGAACAAACCAGAAGAAGACCAATGGGCAGAGCAGGAACAGGCCAGGAAAAACGCAGATGGATGGTGGCAGTTGCCCAACCAAACCGTCTTCATCCCGGGAAAGCTGGCCTATCCCATTGTATCTTGGTATCATAATCTGACTCATCTGGGAAAAACAGCCCTCTCCCAGCTGCTTGCCCAATACTAATATGTAGCCAAACTTCCCTCTGTGGCAATGACAGTTAGCGCCCAGTGTCAGACCTGCACCAGGAACAATGCAGTGGATAAACCAAGGCCAGACCCAGGAATTCAGCACACTGGGGTGTCCCCACTCAGCTGGGGATATAAATACTTGCTGGTTATGATATGTACCTTCTCAGGTTGGGTTGAGGCCCTGAGAGAGGTCATTCCCCGGTGCGATAATGGACCCAGATTCACTATAGAAGTTACACAGATCCTCTCCAAGGCATTAGTCACTCAGTGGAAGTTACACATGACATATAGGCCACAGAGCTCAGGGAAAGTGGAGTGCATGAACCAAACCCTCAAGGTTACCTTGGCCAAACTCCGTCAAGAGACACAACTACCCTGGGTAGATATGTTAAGCACTGCCTTGTGAAACGAGCTGAGACGGATGATGTGACCAGCCAATAGATGGTGCAACAAAGTTAACAGGACCCGGTGAAGATCTGGCTCAGACACCTGCTCACTAAGGCCTCTGAATTTGGCTAGAAACCAAAGACTGAATGGGACCACTGGCTTGGACTCTTATAGTACTCAGAGTCTTCTTGGGAATTGGACTTGGGGCCTCCACCCCAATAGACTGGACTAACTTGCTTCTTGGTAATCCTTTTCTGGGTCTACATGGGGTACCTCTATGTTGTTCTTGGTTGGGGCTCTCTGGGCCCCCGCTCTAATAGACACAACCAACTGCCCCTCAAACCATGTCAGGAGCAAATGAGCCCTATAGGGGGGAGGGACAGCAGCTGGGATAGGACTCCCTGCTATCTCTCCAGAGTCAGCTGGACTCACTGGCAAACTCTGCAGAATAGACGGGCACTTGACTTACTCACAGCAGAATAGGTGAGGACTTGTGTGTTTCCTGTGAAGAATGTTGTTACTATGTAAACCAATCAGGAATTGTAACTACCAAAGTCAAAGGGCTAAAAGAAAGAATCCATAAGAGAAAACAGGAGTTAGAACAGGCTTGGGGCTTTAATTTAGCTATTGCCCCTAGCCAGACCTCTACCCTTCTGATGGTAGCCATAGGACCCTGCTTGCTCAATGCAGTTATTAGATTTATAGAGAGGTTGATGCCACTGTGTAAACTGATAAGGGCATGAAAAGGGGGGAATGATAGGGAAAAGCCCCCGCCTGGGGGCCCTGAGGCAAAATCCACTGCTGATTTGATACATGTGAAGCTTACGGCTGATCCTAGTAATCCCACCGTTGACTGGATAATTTTGCATGCTCGTAGTTGATTGGTTGTGTGTGACCCAAGAAATGTTTAAGACTGGAGAGAAATAAGGAAGCGGTGCTCAGAATTTGGTGGTGTGCCCCTCTGAGCCCACCAGCGAAATAAAGGCTGATTCTCCAAACCTCTGTGTGCCGCTCGGTTCTTTCCCTGGTCAATTACTGTAACACTTGCTGTAACATTTGCTGGAACAAGATCTAGGCCAGGTATGTGTCTCACTGCAGGTCTCCAGGCTGCGAGAGCTTGTTTTCTCACTGAAATTATGAATGTGGTATGGAAAATACACCCCATGATTATGGACCATAAAACCAACAGTCTTAACTTTATGAATGTCCTTAGGAGTACAGTGCCAAGTCTGTGTAGGTTTATAGTCATGGTTCCTGAACACAACCTTGCCACTACCTGGCACAGTGCTGTGGCTCGTGACTGGAAGCTGTGTGGGGATGAGGACAGTCTTACCTTCTCTGGGGATTCTTTATCCAGGACATGTAGAGTCACCATGTAGCCTGTGTTTACCTCTTATATCAGTGCATGAAGGTTTGGAGACAGGTTGTACCTTTTTATATTTTTTTAACCAGGCTTTTGTCATCTCTCCACAACATATTGTGAAATGCTCAAATGTATTCATCTTCCAATAACCAGTTTGTAAGTTTCATTTACCATACTGTACAAGCAGAGAGTGGCCAAAACCCCCATGTTTATAAACTTTTTTTTTGTACCTTTACCTGCTACCATGACAATATCTATTCTGTGGTTTTTAGGGTTGGCAACTGATGATATAATTGTACAAGTGCCCACAGAAATTAGGATCCCAATGAAATAACAAAGGGTTCTAAACAATGAAAATAATTTAATTATCAGGTTTTTTCCCCCAAAGGCTTGCTTGAAGGTATAGTTGCCCTTTTAAAGCTTGAAAAAGGAAACCCTGTACCATGAATAAACTCTCACAATGTAAACATATGGTTTATGTTCTCTGTCACTGACATTTCTCAATTTTGCCTTTCATATCCAGAAGCCATATCTTTAGTAAAGTCTTTCACATTATCCTTTAGATACACTGCTAAACAATGTCTTGAAGTAGGCTTTCTGGGACATTTGAGGCACAGCTAACTGTCTTTAATGAATTGGTTACTGACACTCAAACTGGTCACTAGGTAATGGGGAGCCTGAGTTTCTGGAGCTTGATGATGCCTTCCTGCAACAGGTGCACCTGCACTGGAATGGTGGGCAAAAAAGGAAACTGCTTTGGTATTATCTTCCTACATGTCCATTCATCCTCTGGGCCTGAAATTTTCACCCTTTGGTTGGTTTTTGTTTTTTTTTTTTAAGTTTATGTTTGGTTTCTTGTAATAAAAATACTGTATAATTTTTTAAACTTTGAAATAATTTCAGATTTACAGAAAGTTGCAAAGACAGTACATATGCCCTATATCTTCCTGAAATGTTAATATTTTCATAACCACAATATATTTTTTGAAAATTCAGACATGTCCAGATGTATAAAACTACTAAAAGTACATACTTCCTTCTTATCTTGTTTACCACTAATATATATTTTTTCTGTTCCAGAATCTAATCGAGGATACCACATTATATTGACTGTCAGGTATATTACTTATTCATTGCTGCATAAGAAATTACCACACACGTTAGCGACAGAAAGCTCACATATATTATTCATGGTTTCTCTGGGTCAGGAATCCAAATGTATTAATAGATGGTGGTCAAGGCCAAGGTCTCACCTGAAGGCTCAGCAGGTAAAGGATCCTCTTCTAATCATATGTGATTGTTGCTAGGAGTCAATTGCTGCCCATGTCAAGAAGACTTCATTGCTTAATTATCCCAAACCTTTAAAAAAATAATATAATTCATTAACTTTTCTTTAAAAAAATAAAAACAGAGAAAGGAACACTGTGCAATTTGGTTTATGAGACTGGTTTAACCAGATTACACAACTAGACTAAAGCATTTTAAGAAAAAAAAAATATAGACCAGTAATGTTATGAATACAAAGGCAAAAAGCTTGAAGGACATATCAGAATAAATCAGCAACATAAAACAGGTTTATACACTATCACCAAGTGTATTTATCTCAGTAAGTTTTGTAAAATATATGAAAACAATTAGTGTAATATATTAATAGAATAAAGGACAGTTGCCTCATAATTATCTCGGAGGGTACAAAATAAGCATTTAACAAAAATGATGCCTACTCATGGTAAAAACACTGAACAGATTATGTATAGAAAGGAACTGTTTTCACCTAAAAATTGCCTCAAGGAAAAACTCACCTACCAACACACAGTGTCAAGAAAATACCATTAATTTCCCCAAGAATAAAAACACAACAATGATGTGAACATCTACCATTTCTATTAAACATGTACTGGAAAATGGAACTAGTGGAATTATGCAAGAAAAATAAATATAAGGCATCCAGATTGGAAAAGAAGTAGTCAAACTATCTCTGTTTAGAAATGACATGATCTAATGTATTTAAAATCCTTAAAATTCCATTAAAGTAAGATTAAAAGAAAAAAATCAGTTCAGTAATGTTACATTATGTGAGGTCAATACAAAGTCAATTGTATTTCTGGATAGGTGCAGTGGCTCATGCCTGTAATCCCAGCAATTTAGGAGGCTGAGGCAGGAGGACCATCTGAAGCCAGGAGTTTGAGAGCAGCCTGAATAAAACTGCAAGACTCTATCTCTATAAAAAATAATAAAGTCCTGAAAACATAAAATAAACTGCATTTCTATTTAATAACAGTTGATTTAAAATGAGACTAAGAAAATCATCTCATTTAATATAGCAAGAAAAAGATATATTTATGAATTAATTTAATATAGTAAGTATAAGATGTACATTATAAACTACAAATATATTTGAAAATTAAATATTTTAAATAAATGGAACAAAAAATTTCATTTTTATTGATCGGAAGGCTTAATATTGTTTGATGCCCATATTTTCTAAATGGATTTCCAAATCTATTACAACTCTGTAGAAATCCTGACATGTATTTTTTCAATTGTTTTGGCAGGTTGGCAGGTTGATTCTAAAATTCATATGGAAATTCAAGTGCTCCAGAATAGTGAAAAGAATCTTAAAAAGAAGAAACAAAGTTAGAATACCTGACTCACATGCTGATTTCTGAACTTATTATAAACCAATAGTAATCAACACATTGTGGTACTAATACAAAGATAGACATATAGGTAAATGGAATACAGTTGAGTATCCAGAATTAATCTTTAAAGTTACGGTAAACTTATTTATAAGTTTGACATTATAATTCATTGTGGAAAATTATTTTCTTAACAAGTATTACTACCACAAACATATATCCACATGCAAGATGACTCCTTTCCACTTTTTATACATAACTAACTCAAAATAGAGCATAGACCTAAATGTAAGAGTTAAACTACACATCCCATAGAATAGAAATAAATCTATATAAATTTAGGTGAAATAATGGCATATAAGTTATGATACCAAAATACAAGTGACAACAGAAAAAAAAATAAAGGGATGAATTGAGCTTCAAAATAATTAAAAACATTTGTGATTGAAAGTACACCATCAAGACCACACTAAGACTGGGAAAAATGTTTGCAGATTCATGTTTACTAGATTAAATTCATGTGCTGCTAGAAATATTAGTAGGAATTCATGCTTAACTTTACATACATCTATATGGACAAATGTAGAAATATATGTGTGTATAAGTTAATATACATATATACATATTAACTTGTATACACATGTATTTGTTATGTCAAATGACAAAGCAAAGACACATCAGAGGCCTAAAAATTAATAAAGAAAACACAATAACACAAAATGCTTGCTTAGGTCCATGCAATGGTGACTCTGCCTTGAAATGAGAAGAAACTAATTTTCAAAAATGATCAAATTAGGCCGGGCGCGGTGGCTCACGCCTATAATCCTAGCTCTCTGGGAGGCCGAGGTGGGCGGATTGCTCAAGGTCAGGAGTTCAAAACCAGCCTGAGCAAGAGCGAGACCCCGTCTCTACTATAAATAGAAAGAAATTAATTGGCCAACTGATATGTATATAAAAAATTAGCCGGGCATGGTGGCGCATGCCTGTAGTCCCAGCTACTCGGGAGGCTGAGGCAGAGGATGCTTGAGCCCAGAAGTTTGAGGTTGCTGTGAGCTAGGCTGATGCCACGGCACTCACTCTAGCCTGGACAACAAAGCAAGACTCTGTCTCAAAAAAAAAAAAAAAAAAAAAAGATAAAATTAAAGGCACACAAAGTGGGATAATTTATTTTGATTACTAGGCCAAAAAATTCTATAAATATAAATAATCTACCAATATGAAACATAGGCAAAAATTGCTATGAATGTCATTTAAAAGAAAAATAAATTCATGTAATATATCTTACAAGCTGAGAGAAATGAGAAAATCATGAGTTTTGAAGGAGAATATCACAGAATATATAGGAGGACATGTGGTCACATGTGTGGACATGTTTTATGTCCATGGAGAAAAGATCCTGTTGAATATGAGCCCAGTCCCACCATGGTCTGACCTTCCTGCTCTTGCTGTCCTCACACATTTCTGATCCCACTGGACCTTTCTCCACTGCCCTCTTCTCATGCCCTGGCCTGTGCCATGGACACAATTTTTCTTCTTCTCTTTCCCTCCCCTGTTTGCTGGACTCACTGCTCCTCTTCAGAATCTTCTCAACGTTCCTCCACCTGGACGTCTTCCTTGTCCTTTCCATTCCAGGTCTGATGACTGTCTTCTGAGTTCTCAAGGTCAGTTCTTTCTCCGAAAGTTTAGATTTCTAAGTTTTTTCAACTGATTCAGAGAATATGAAAATTGTTTGTATTGTTTTCCTGTGACCCTCACACATGTAGTGGACACAAAGCAACACTGAAGATTTCGCTTTATGTTGAATTTCATAAATGTTTTAGCTAACTTTTCAACTTCCTCACCTATATCTTTGCCTACTTCCCAAAAAACTCTGTCTCTCTTTCAATCTGAAGAGGATTTGAACTTGAAGATGAGCATGGTTCTTTTGCCCCCTTCTATCCTCAGGACAGGATTTGAGCCCTGACTCTCCTCAGCCTCTTCTCCAGCCACCCACTCTCAACCCACTGCACAGACCCTCGAATGGACCATGCTGCTGCTGCCTCATCTGCACCTCTTCTGTCCTCCTCCACAGTGTTACCCTCTTACTGACATAAAATTTACTTGTACAATAGGATTTAATTCTATTAATATGGTTTCTTGGATATTTTGAAATCCATATTAGTTACCATGCCTCACTCATTTTACTATATGTGTGCAGGTATTTTCTAATATATACTTTAAAAAAAAATTTGTCACAGTTACTGCTAGACTTGTTTGAGCCATGCCATGATTTAAATTTTCTGCACATGCATGAGTATATCTTGAAATGTTCTGTTTTACCTTGCTAAGATCACCTATATTGACACTTGTGGAATGGGTGCCAACAGGAAAGGGGGAAATCACATAAATAATCGTAATATGCTGAAATAAAAAAAAATGTTTCTTTACCATCACTCTTCATGCTACACAAGGTGATGTAAAGATATCATTGCTTGTGTATAAAAACCTAATTCAGAATATTCAGAATCAGAATATTAAGATATGGGTGAATTAATTTATGAATGAATTTCAATATTGTTTTCATTTGTATATGAATATTGCTTGTATATTTAAAATTCTAAAACGGCTTTTTCAGTAAGTGTGAATAAGTCTATTATGTGTATAGTAGTGTAATTGACAGAGCCATTATCATTTCTTTTATATTTCTTTTAGATTGTTCTTTGATTCATTCACCTTTGATTCATTTTCATAAGGTAGATATCTTGCAAATGAACTCCTACAGACACTGTTAATTTGGTGAATTATGACCTTCCCCTTACTGTTATAGTTGCCAGTCACTTTTCTGTGTGTGTTGGACTCACATTGTTCCAGATCCACTGTAATCACATCAACTAGCTCCAAGGATACAGAAATGATGGAGTAACTGTGGGACAAATGAAACAAAATGTTGTGGGAAAACATCTAGGGATTGAATGTGGCTTATCATATGTAGAAAAATGGACAAATTATACAGAATACTGGATTGAAATATAGAGCACATCAATCAATGCGGGGCACTGGTACCCGAGGGACATGAAACAATGTCATCAGCCCTACTATTTCCTGTTATTCTTTGTGAGAGTTTTCAGGCCATGATGTGCCATGAATTTTGGAACACAGTGTCTGAGTTAAGAGAAGGCAACTCAGAGTCTGATGAATGAGTTGACTGAATTCCATCCAATCCCTTTCCACATTCAATGGTAAAAATGGGAGAAAATATTCATGCCAGCACCTAAGCAGGCTGGCCTGCTAGTGCCATCATCAGTCCACTGAGACATGGTTCACAGAAGTACAGGAGCAGGACAGGGGAAAAATAAAGCAAAGACATAAAGATAATCCATTTGAATTAACTTTGCCTTCAAGTCTTTCATCTTATTTCTGACTATAAAAAGTCAAAGGCCTTTACATAACACAAGCCCAAGGATGAAGGGATACCCTTTAGAGATGAAGTAAATGATGTATATACGTAGAATGAATCACTCTATGTGGACACCAGCCTGCCTTTCCTATATTATTTTGCTAGATGTGGTTGATAAACTCACTACATTATGGGAAGATGCAGGGGTGGTGATTCCCTAAACATCCCTGCAAAACTGTGTTCTCTGGCCTGTGCAGAAGACAGAGAGAACCCAGAAAATGACAGTACATTGCCATTATTTGAACCAAGTGCTGATTCAAATTCCAGCTGCTGCAACAGATATG